CTCCATGCCCTGCCTTCACCGAGCGCGGCAGCGTGGGCGGGGCCTGCGCGGGCGGTGTGCGCGGGACGACGCATCGCGGGGGGGACGAAGTGCGCATGCTTCGGAGGCTTCGGGCTTCATCGGCTGTGCGGCTGTGCAGAGTCTGCAGAGGCGCGGGCGCCTCCAAATCCAGGTCCTCGCTGGGCTCGCGAGGCCGCTTGAGCAGCTCCGCAGGCGCAGGAGCCGCAGGAGCCGCGGGAGCCGCAGGAGGCTCTGGCTCTGGCGCCTGAGGTGCCTGGTCCTCTTGAGGTGGTCTCTCTGTCGGCTCCGACTCCTCATCCAGCTCGACCCGGATGCAGTCAGCCGGCGAAGTTGGCTCGTCAGGCCCTTGCAGCTGGACTGGCGATCTGTAGGCTTGGGAAGCTTGTTGGGCCGCTTCAAGCACATGGCGTGGGGGCGTCGGAGTGCGCGTGATCTCCATGTCTTGCCTTGCCGGCTTCTCCTCTTCCTCAGATTCCTGGCTTGAATCCTGACTCGGGGACTTCTGCCTCACAGGCTCCGGTTCTGGCGACTTCTTCACAGGCTCCTCTGTGGGCTCCTTTGCAGGGGAAGGGGAAGCGCCCCTCTTCTCGGGCTCCTGCTTCTGGGCCTCGGTTTCGCTAATCTTTGTTGGCTCCTGAGGCTCCTGAGTTGGCTGCGCTTGAACTGGAAGGGGCAGCGGCATGGGCGGCGGAGGCGGGAGCGGCTTTCGCAGTGCATGCGGCATGGGAGGCACCTCCTCTTCGGAGAGGCACACGGCCGTCTCCACCGGGGGCTCCGGTCTTGCTGGCGGCTGCGGCAGAGGCTTGCGACGGCGTGGCGGAGGAGGCGTCGGCGTTGAAGCGGGCACAGGCATCGCTGGCATCGGCTCGGGCGCAGGCACTGCAGGCACGGCAGGCACTGCAGGCACTGCCGGCACTGCAGGCACTGCCGGCACCGACACGGGCTTGGGGGCCGTGGCGTGACCAATCGGGCGCCGGATTCTTCCGATAGGCGCGGCCAACCTGGGAAAAGACTTTGCGGTACAAGATGCGAAAAGACGATCACTAACTCACTAGAACGGCTCCGGTGAGTGACGCCGCGGCCAAGCTGCTTGATGTCCAGGTCGCAGCGGCCGAGGTCCAATCGAACGACCTGGACCTCGAATGACTCGAATCATGCACACGATCCCACAGGAAGGGTTTGTAATGGAAGAACAGATGGAGATGACATTCGATCGCTTTTCTCTGCCTTCGCAGGCAGCCACCGGCCCGCCGAGACGCTCCAGTACTCCACTTGCTCGCCGACCTCCAACAGGCGCCACGGCCCGTCGTCCGGTGCTCTCCTCTCATTCTCTTGCATGGCACCTCGTAGCGCTCTTGGGAGGCCCGTGGCGAGGAGCGGACCTGTGAAGGCGGGAGGCCGCCATGGATATGCCGATCAGCACGTCGAAGGGACTTCCGCGGCCTTGTCGGCGGAGACTCCCTTCTTGCAGTCCAGGTCGTAGCAAATGTTGCCCTCCAGTTCGAACATGCAGAGCACCAGCGTCTCCACCCACCTCTGCTTCGTCTCGCTGAAGTACTGCACCTGCAGGGCACACTCCTGACCGAACCCGTGCCTGCACGTGCCAGAAAAGCGAGATCAGAGCCTGGTCTCCGGCTTTGAAGCCGCAGGCCAGCGGAGGGGGAGGCACGTCGACCTCGCAAATGGCAAAAGGCATGGCACCGTCGCGGACAATCAAAATTTCTTACAACGGCGGAGGCGGACGTTGTGGGCCAGGATCGGGCCCAACAATGGCCGCGGCGGAGCCTGTCGAACACTGCTGGAATGGCATGGGAGTGCTGCGCCTGCAGTGCTGTGACGTTCGGGACATGCACGGCGCTCGCCTTCTGCAGCGAGGCGGAAGCTTCCGAAGCGCCCGAGACCTCGCAGCACAAACAGCACGACCTGCCACAGGAGCAGGCAGACGTGCCCCCGCGTCGACGGGCCTTGCGGACTCGGTTCAGGGGAGCTCCCGGCTTCACGTCCAGGTCACAGGCCCGTGCCTCGAGGCGATGCTCCCAGCGCGACTTTCTGCTCCCCAGCTCCTGCAGCCGAGGCGCCTCCAAATTCAGCCGCTCCACCTGCAACGCAGAGCAGCCAGCGTTCTCTGAGCTCCTGCTCTTGCTCTTTGTCTCCCTCCGTCCCCGGCCTTCGCAGGCATCCACCGATGTCCCGAGGCGCTCCAGTATTCCACCAGCTCGCCTACCTTACAGTTGATTACAGGCCCTACACGACGAGTTGTACCTCTGTCACTTATTCTGAAGGATTGAAAAGCATCAAGAGTAAGTGACCCATAAAAAAGTTTAGCTCTCGATGGAAACGTGCAACCTCTGCTGGTGCACCACTGAGTGCCCACGTCGCGTCGTTCCCCACCATGGTTTGAGGCGTTCCAAAAAAACAAAATGAACCCGTCGCCTCAAACCTCGTCCGATGCTCGCAAGCAGCAGCACTGCGTTCACTCTCTCCTGTTAGTTTTTTCCAGCTTTCATCCACCGATCCAGCCCCGCACCAAACTTGGCAAACAGGTGGTGGTCAGGAGGTATTACCAATGGTACTAATCGTACGTCTAAAGCCTCGGTGGGGCAGTCCGGGCAGGCTTGCAGATGGTTTCGTGGTTTCCCGACTCGCAATTTCCTGAATCACGTGGTTTTCCTGCCTTGCGTGGATTTTGGAATCGCCACTGGTAGGTTTCCTGATTCGCGTGGCTTCCTGAACCGACAGTTTCCTGAATCACGGAGTTTCCTGAATGCTGGTTTCCTGAAGCGTGGCCGTCTTGAGGCCTCGACTTTGTACTGGACCCCAGAGTGGCGCAGCCGCTCGGCCGGAACCCCCTTCTTGCAATTGAGGTCGTACGCGACGATGGCCCCGTCCTTGTACAAAGCTGCACCGCACACAAGTAACTGCTGAAATCTGCAACGTCTTTCGCATTACGATGCCCATCGCTCCTTGGCGTGGTGGCCTTCCACCTCAGCCAGGAAGCAGAGCTCAGATGCGCATCGATTCCAACGTAGCTCCGTGGATCCATGCTTTCAGCAGGGCCTCAATTCAACTTGCCCCTGCGGCAGAGGTGCGACCGCGTCGATCCATCGTTCCTTCGTCTCGCTGAAGTACTGCACCTAGAGATTGCGGCAGCCACGCCGGCATCTGCAGCTACGCAGATTTGAACGAAAAAAACACGAGCACAGCATTGTCTGAACCGAGGGGTGGCCTCCTCCCCATTTTTGAAGCGAGCCTCGCTCCGGTATATGAGGATTATACGCCCACGCAGGCACGCTGAATTGGCTGCCACGCAATTCGAGCACAAGTACTGCGTTTTGTTCATCTGATTGAAGGCGTCCGCTGACTGTCCCGTCCCCGTTCACCCACCTCGTGGCTGTCTCCATCGCCAACAGCCTGTCCATGCGCACAGGGAGCAGCAGGTCACTTGGGCGTGCATCTGTTCAGCCCCTTCCTGGTCCCGAACAGGGAGATCGATGGTCGGCTTCTTTGCCTGCGAAGTTCGGAAGCTTCCAAGATTCGGAGCTCTTGGGTTCTTTGAGTTTATTGCCGGTTCAGGAGCCGAAGGATCTTGGCCACTCGGCTTGCCGGGGACCTTGTGCTGCGCAAGTCTTGCACTGAAAATTTTAGTTGGCGAGTTGGCCCTGGACCCAAATCTCCACGCGATCCATCGACGAGTTCTACTCCCACCCGAACCAAGCTGTCGCGACCGAGGAGCCTCCGTGATCTCATCTCCTGCACCCGTAGAGTTCCGGGCTGCTGGAGCTGGCCTCAAGGCACGTGACCAACAAGAACAACTACACAAGTCGGCCTTGACTCTGGTCGCAGATTCTGGTGTCATGATGCGCTGAGGCTCCGGACGCGTCCTCCGCGGTGCTGGCATCCTTGACCCTTGCGATCTCTGCCTCGCGGCAGGACACAGTGTATCGGGGCCGCCCTCCCCGGAAAGCAGATCCCGGCCTGAG